TTCTACCAAACAAGTGTTATAGTTGCTTTCTGTTGCAATGCTGGGTTGCTCCATGGACCCAGATTTCTATATTTTTCTGCAGAGAAATTTTGAAGTCAGAATGGCTGGGAATGTACATCCACAGGCACATTCTCATAAATTGAAAGATGAGGATCTTCTACTTAGTTGCAATGCATAATAGTGTGTTTAATGTTTGGATCATAATCTTTCCAGTGGTCTCCCAGGCTTCTTAATTAAATCCCAGTGAAAGGCATAGTGTGTGAACTCCTACACTGGTCTTTCTTAGCCTGAGAAGTTTGGGCGGCTAGAGAAGCCTGAGAGAGATGTGTAACGAAAGTCAGCAAAGCCAGCAGGTGCACACATTACTACTTGTGAGTGTAAAGTAAGCTCAAAGAACTCACTCCTGGAACAAAAGTTTAAAATTCTCCAGTGCCCTGAAAATAAAGTAGAAAAACTGAGTTCTTTTTTGCAGAGGAAGAAGAAACAGTATGGGAAGTTGCAGAATAGATTTCAGTCCAGCATTTCTGTCTCCTTTTGCAATTAACTAAATTAAGAACTAAGAGTACACAGCTGATGCATACTTGATTAAATAGGTAAGGTATTTTTTATTATTGCTTCTTTCACCCAACTCTACTCTGATTTAAAGGAAAAATATATTTGAAGGCTATATTTGGGGGACAGAAGCTGTTACCTTCCTCAGATATTTACAGTACTTTGCACAAACTTAATTTCAAGCTCTGTTGAAGATCGTATTTAGCTCCATTTCTTTACAAAAATGCATCACTTTAGTTTCTAAGGCAGATGCATAAAAATGAGAAAGACAGATTTTTGGCTAGGAAAATAGTTTCTTGCTTGGTGCATAAAATTTGGAATAATATTGTTCCTTTTCCGCTTCTCCCTCCTCTAAACCCCACAGTAGAAGTGAGGAATACTGTAGCTACTACTGTATATTCTTCACATGCTTCAGTGGGAACAGTTATTTTTTTTTAAAAAAAATCAACTTTTAATTCAAAAAGACTGAAATTCATGCATAGAGAATTACTTGCATACACCCAGAGTCATGAATTTGTGATGGACGGTTTACCAATCAATCAAATAAATAAATGATTCTTTTATAAGTAGAAACTGGGAGGATGCAAAATATTAAAATTTCCTGTTAAATAATCCAATTAATGTTAACTCTTCTTCTTCTCCTAATGGAGGTTGGCAACTGTCAATACTACTGGTCTTTTGATAGTCATGTCCTGAACAAAATTATATTTTGGTTAAATCAGGCATGTAGATTTTTCAGCCAAAGTACATTGTCATCCCGTGGTGCATGTCTCTTGAATCTTTCTTTCCTTGTATAATTAATTGAAATAGTTGATATTCCTCACTGTATATCATGTGACCCAATGATTTCAATTTCCTTTTTTAACTATTATTCATAATTTCCCCATCTTTGCCTATTCTTTATAGGAACAACTCATTTTGTACACATTTGATCCATTTCAAAGGTTTCTGTTCTCCTGATCGCCCGTTGCTTCTACTCCATCCAAAAGGACTGGCCATACATAAAAACACATCTGAATATCAATTGCAAACAAAACCTTTCTTAATTGGTACCTGGCAAAGGCAAACCACCTCCAAAATTTTGTCAAGAAAACTGCAGAGACTTGTCCAGGCAATCACCTGGAATCAACACTAAGACACCAAATACACAGGCACAGATATACAGGCGCACAGACAGATACACACACATACATACAAATAAAAATAAATAAGTTTACTCTATAGTTAAAAATTGGAGGATAGGAGGATAGGATTTGCAGTGTAAACTAAGTGTAAACATTTAACATCTAGGAATTATGCTTTGCGTAAAAATTAATTATAGAGATTTATTTGGTTTCTATTTTCTCTTTGACAAAAATATTCTGGGTTTGACACGCACTCATAAAGATAATCTAAAATTAAGAGTCATATTAGCAGTACTGAGGTATTATAATAGCATTGCATGAGGCATTCTCATTGCCTCCTCTCTTTAAAAAACTTGCCAATCAGTGTTTTTTCAAGAGAGAGAGAGAGGAGGCAATGAGATTGCCTCACACAATAATACCGTATAGTAGTACAATTAGGGTTCCAGTATCTAGAGTGCAAAATCAAAATTACCTTAAGATGGTGACAAAAAGATAAAGAAAAGTCTAGATCTTTGGTGCCATCTAGTAATCATCCAATTTTTGCAGCCCTTGTGAAATTAATTCATGGAGAAAATCNAAGCCCTTTCTTCCAGTCTCTGATTCCCAGCGTATCATGCTTTAACTCGGGATGGCCTACATATTTGCATTGCATCTTGGTACATGTAGTCCTAAATAATCCTTCGTTTAGAACAGGGGTAGTCAACCTTGGCTCTTTTATGACTCGTGGACTTCAACTCCCAGAATTCCTGAGCCAGCTAAGCTGGCTCAGGAATTCTGGGAATTGAAGTCCACGAGTCATAAAAGAGCCAAGGTTGACTACCCCTGGTTTAGAAAAAGAAAAGGGGGCGTGATCCCACTGCGGCCGCTTCTAGGAAGTGCCTCGTGTGCGTTTTGAAGGCGGGCTGGGGGGTGGTTCCGCTTTCCCGCTTCGAAGTGCTTCGCTGGTGTGACTTCTGAGGTGGGTGCGTTTTGGGGGCGAGGCAGGAGAAGTTGGGGTTTTAAGGGGTTTTTTTCCCGGATTGGAAGAAGGTGAACTCGAACGGCGACGCCATGAGGGAAACTGGTGGAGTTGTTAGCTTAATTCACAAGGCAGGCGAAAACAGCACCGCAAAAAGTAGTTAACTTTTTGTTTTGTTTTGTTTTTTACCTCAGGCCCAGTTCCGCGGCAAGAAAGTTAAGGCACAGACTCTCCCTCCAAAAATTCTTGGAGGAGGACGTTTCTGAGTTAAATTGAGGGGTGGTTTGGGGCGGTCCGGAGAATTGTAACGAAACTTAATAGTTTTGCTTGGCGAGAGAACGAGTTGTTAAAACTTTTTTGCCTTCCTCGGCACTGATAGAATCGCCTTGATAACGTTTGCTTTCCTCTTTCCCTCCTCACATGGTTGCTTTCCCTTAACGAATAAAAGAAAATTTGCTGGAATAAAGTTACGTATTGTTTCCTCTCAGAACTGCCATCTTCCCAAGATTATTTTCTCTTAGGTATACATTTAACCCAGCCTACAATTAAATGTTCACACTTATTCCCCCCCCCACACACACAAATAATAAAACTGAAACTGGAAAAAGTTATGAAGAAAGGATTTCTGTGAGGAAAACGTGGACACAAACGTTGGGCTAATGGTAAATTAATGGAGGTCCCTTCAAGGTCCCTTCCAACTTTATTATTATTATTATTATTATTATTATTATTATTATTATTATTATTATTATTATATGAGTACCTCCCTTTTTTAGTTGAACAGCATTTTATGGGGATCAGATATAGCGGTGAATATGCCATGCTTTATTAATAGGAAGTGAGCCTCTGCCTGCTACTTCCAATTAGTATTTCGTCAGCTTTGGAATCAAAAGACCATTTGGAATTAACTATCTGGAAAAGAGAAGACCACTAGCTAGCAGCAGATTCCAACACCATGTTCAACTTTTTTATCCTTAGGGAAGAAGCATGTGTTTTCAGATGCATGAGGAAGATAATGTAAAGAGCACTAAACTAGATTGCACGCTATCCTTGTAATTTACAGTAGTGCCTAAAATTGTGGAAACCTTTTGGGAAAAGTGTATTTTTGAGGTTTGATGGCTAATAACACCACTTTGTTTTTGGAGTAGTACCATAAAATTATATATCAATGGAAAGATAATTTAATCAAGAATGTAATGCAACGTTGTTCAATTATCTGTACTGTGTTCTATGAAATGTTATATAGCCAAATAACCAGAAAAAGGAAGCACAGCTTGCTTACGTTGATATCAGGTAGCTTTCCTTCATCTGATTGTAGCCAATGAGCATGAGTGTTTAGAGAGCCAATCAGGTGTCATCTTGGTTTGGCAAAGAGTCAATCAGATCACAGTAGGATTCAGTTATTGATGTCATGTATTGAAGCTGAGAGGAGGACATTTGTTGTTATGTAATCACTATCAAGTTGGTTGGGGTTTTTTTTCCTTTCATTTAGCTTGTAAAACGTAATAAAATTAAAATAATGGTGCAAAGAGTTGACTGGTTGCCCAGAAAGTGATGTAAAATAAAATTTTGGCCACTACTGTATATCATCAAGTGAACATTTGAACCTGAAGGAGAAACTGCAACATTTGGAGATGTATGTTTGAGTTAATGTAATTAAAACAGCATCTCCAAAAAGTACCGAACAAATATTCTTGAATAGCAAAAACAGAAAACAAGTATGTAAATGAGAATGAATGTAGAACTACAAGTTTTCCCAAACCAATTGACTCAGAAAATAAGCTGAAGTGGGTTTGATTGTGCTGGCAGAGTAATAGGAGAGGAAAAAAATGTCTTCTCAATATTAAAAAAAAATCTTTTGAGGAGT